TGCACACATCAGAGCCTGCTGACTTCAACCGGACCCCGCACACGGCTGCATCTGAGTCATCTGGATTTTGTGCTTATGAGTACAAAACCACTCGCTGTGACCCAGATGGAATTGACAGAGTATTCTCCTTATTTCTAATTGTTAGATCATCTCTTTTTAACTCCAGCAAAGATGACTTGCAGACTAAGCCTCTTAGGGATCAAGGCAGTTGTTTTGTTTGTACAGCATTAGCACAGCAGGATCCCAGGCCACAAATGGCCTCCAAGGCTACCTCTACACTGTTGTATGAGCTCCAACCTCAATTCTTCATTTAAACCCAAACTTCCCAACTATCAACACCGCCTACACAGAGGTTCATACTCTGGCCTAGTCAGGAACACGATGTGAGCTCACACCTCGTGTAGAGACCAGCTCAGGCTTGAGCCATGCTCCACAAACAGTACAGATGCAGCAGTTTTGAGCTCTTCCCTCTAACAAGGACCATGCTGCCCCAATCAGCATTTAAGCTCGCCCCCCCTTGCAGGCAGACTTAGCATGTTCCCTGCCACTCCCAGTTTCTAATTCTCCATGTATTTAGTTCTCAAATTTTACGATATATTTTTGCCTGTGGCACAGTAGATCACTTACCCTTCTCCCGTTAGCCCTCTCTGTTTAATTACAGTTTAATGTGAATTGATCTTCACATTAATGAGCCTGTAAAGAAGATTGATTTTCTTCAAGAGATTTTTATGCTCAGTTTGGCAGCAGAGTAGTCCTATTGATTTCACTCTCCCCAGCAAATACGCTGCAGTGTCACTGCATCCTCTGTGAATCAGCTAATCCTATTTCACACTCTTGTGCTCCAAAAATCCCTATTCTGACTTCCTTGTTATCTATGCTTATTCAGAGCAAGATCATGGAGCCAAAGCATCTCAAGCAGCTTTGACTGTTGCTAACATACAGCTGACTGCTGTGGGTCACTATCCCCTTTGTTCCTAAATGGTTGGGGTCTTAAAAGACTTAAGAGTGAAAGAAACTAATGTTATTTTTAAGTGTTTAATCTGTTAACTTCCTTAATTCCCAGCCAGCCAAGGATGCAGCACAGTGTGCTCTGTTCACCACGTTTGCTTCATAGGTCTGGTTAGCAAGCTCTCCACTGAGCTCTACAGCTGTGGAACAGCCTGTGCTGGCATGCTGGCATGCCTGCATCGGTGGATGCAACATGAATCAGGCTGGCCACCTCGCAGCGAGGGCAGAGGACAAGGATCCACCACTGCTATGCCATGCAGACATCCCAAATGCCCCTCAGGATGCATTGACCCATATGCAGGTAGATGAAGCAGTGGCAGACCAGCCCCAGAGGAAGGGCTGAGCTCATGCCTACACAGAAACAGCAACACAGAGCTGACTGCAGCTCAGGTCCTCCTCTTACCCTGCATGCTAGCAAAGCGAAGAGACTCTCCACCCAAGTTATGGAGAAGTTGGATACAAACTCACTCACTTCTGCTATAAATAACTGGTTTCTTCCATCTTCCCCTTCCCCACCACATCAGGTAACAGTTTCCTCAAGAACCTAAAGAGTTAATGCACTTGAGTTGCAGGAGAAGGGAACATTGGGAAGGGAAATCCTCAGCCAAGAGCATGTCAGTGAAAACATCCTGCCATCAACTCCCAAATGTCCAAGTCTAGGAACTGTAGCTAAATTACAAATGCTGTGGGAATTTCAGGCAAGATTCTCCTCTCAGCTACTCCGATGTAATTTCGGAATGAATCCAGACTCAGTCTCTCCCCCTCCCAGCTGAATTTCCTGGCTTTTGTTTGCACTAACAGATGTTAGCATTTAATGTCTGTCTTTATTTGGTAACCCGTACATAAGATTATTTTTCCCTTCTGTTCTATTAAAAGCCTTATCAAGTCCCTTATATTTGCTCTTGTCGAGATGAACAACTTTGGCAGCATTTTCAACATGTAAGGGAAACAAACCGACTCTTCAAGGAATAATTAAGCTGAACTAAACTTCACAGCAGTATAATAGGGCATAGCATGTTTGATATGTATGTCTGCATCCATCTTCAGCCTGAAACACCCAAAGATTTGTAAAGAACCTTGAGAACTGTCTCTCCAACAGATTCCCACATGCTTACATACATGGCCCATGGTCCATGCATATGTGGGGGTCAAGCTTGGGGTGATGGAGACAGGTATGGCAAACCCCAAAACAGCAATCAAGCTCATTAAAAGAAACTTTCTTGGAAAAGGAGAAAAAGTCTCTTCCCGACTTTAGAAAGAGTAGGAGATGAAATAACTCATTCAAAGGGGTTGTTTTGAGTGACAAATATACAACCCTTGCTCTTATAATACATTCACAGCCCTTTGGAAATACTTAACCACATGCAATATACAAGACCTACTTCAGAGGTTTGTGAGGTAAACACACTTCACACATTTCTAAACACTGAGGAAAAAAAAAGAGGAAATGTATTTATTTTTCTTTAGCAGTAAGAATACACTGTAACACTATATACTTAAACATAAACCAGTTTCTCAGTACACAGTCTTCATTATGAGTCTTCACCCTGGGTTTGGTTTGGCAGCCTCCCCAATTATTACTTCACAGATTTGAAGGCCAGAAGAAACCAGTATGGCCATACAATCTGATTCTTTACATCACACGAGGCCAAAGAACTTTACCCAACAATCTGCGTATCAAGCCCATTAACCCAGAGTTGAACTAAAGGACCATCTTTTAAGAAGCCATCCAATTGATTTAAAGACTCCCAAGGATGGAGAAAGCTTCACTTCCTCAGCAAATCATTCCAATGCGAGTTAGTCAGCAACATCGATTAAAGCAGGTACTTTAAAACAGCTTTCAGATTATTTTTACCTCTGATAAAAATTAAAAGGAAATGCAAGGGAGGGAAGTGGCATTCTCTGAACCAAGCTAAACAAAGAGATCCTTCTTGCAGAGGTATGACAGCAGCATTACAAATCCCACTATCAGAGTTATTTATGTGTAGCAGCTGAGGAGAGCAATACAGATTTCTGGAAAGTGATACTACACAGGTCTGGTTAGAATATCGTCCTTTTATCATTTGGCTTTGTACCTTCCCCTTCCTTCTGCACCACTCTGAAATTTCAGAGGAGCTGTAAATCTACTGCCTTCCACCAGTCATTATTCCTCCTTTCCAAACTGCTTACTTCATTTCAGGAATAAAAACCCCAAAGCTCCAGCAATTTGGTCCTTTGCCAATAGCTAAATTAATAGCAAAAATAACAACAGGGGCTTGTGAAACTCGGATCATTTATAGACTTCGTGAGAAAGAAAAGCCGATTTGGGGGGCCTAAAACTATATCCTGGATGGTAAACTGCATGCAAGCTATTCCTCCCATAAATTAGATTTCTGGGGTTGTTCTTGAATCCCAGTGCATAACACACTGGGTTATGCCACAGCCTGGTAAGCTCAGTTCAAGTGGCAGGCAGATGGCTCCTCATGTCAGGGGATCGTGCCTTATACAAGGGACCCTGCTCGGAGGGAGTTACCACCCTGCTCTGCAGCCAGCAGCCCCCAGATCACGCATCCAGGCTTCACGTGTGGCCACGCAAGCAGGGAGAGGCGGCAGCAGGAGGCAGGGATCAAACACGACGGTTTCACACCAACCACACGCGACTTATTTGACAGGTCTGATAAGTGCTGAGACTCAAGCCACCCCTCCACCCAGGAGGTGAAGTGGTTACTTAGGCATTTAACAGAGACAACACTTGCTAGATCCAGCGCTGGTGACAGCAGAGGAGCACTCTGGCTCTTCACGAGCTCTGCAAGAACACTGTATACCCAAGAACCAGATGAAAGGAACCGTATCTCAAACAAAAGTTCAACTCACTTCATGCCAGGAGTGAGATATGGACACCAATCTGAAGCTAAGATCCTTAAACTGAATTAAGTCAGTGAAGGAGTTTGTCTGCTTTGCATATTTTAACATTGCCTAATGGCAGAGCAGGAACAGTGCCAGTTTGTTTCACCCAATTTTATCCTTCGTTTAAGTAATAGGAATGTACTTTCAGCCAACAGATCGAGGTTGCCTCAGAGTAAATCAGAGCCTTATGAGCATGAGAGGCCAATCACTTGGTGGTACGGACATGGGCATCTTCCACTACAAGGAGAAGGAAATCCATGGCAAATCTGACACTGCAAGGCCATGCACATTGGAAGCCATCACTTGAACTGCCCAAGCACTTTGCTGCAGTCTGTATTACCTATAACCACTTCCCCTTCCCAGGAACTTGGGAGGTATCATGTATACTTCAGCAAAATTCCTCTGTGCATTACACGTGCAGACACATGCAAAAATAATTCTAGAAATCCACACTCAAGGTACTAAGTAGTTTGATATTATAATGTCCTTATTCCCTTCCACAGCATCCTCAAGAACCTCAGTGGCAGATACACAAGGACTCTCGGGTGTCTAACACCTTGTGGGCACCTAAACTACTAAAGAGGAACTTCAAAGCTTCTGCAGATCTACCCTTAAAATCACCAATCACTCTCTCAAAAGGAGTTAAAAAAGAAGAAGTTGAAAGAGACCATAAAAATGGGTCTGGAATGAGTTCCCTGAAGGATTAAGATGTGAATGGTCTCTGGCTTTAAGAGAAAAGATCAGAACAGGGCCAGGGGAAAAAAACCCCACAACAATAAAGGTAAAATTATATACTCATTTAACAGCACAAATACACATAATGGTTGAAACTCAAAGGCAGATGAGAAAGAAGTAATTTTACTCAATATGCAATGTGTAGAGTTTACTAACACAGCTTACTGACATGTTACCAGTGATGATAAGCACGTAACCATCATCATCAATTAAGCCCAACCTCACACAAGTCGCATTAAGGTGCCCACAAGCCTGACAGTGAAATCTGAAGAGTCAGCAGAAGCGGGTATGACACACACAAAGCTCCCCATCAGTGGCAGCTAAACCTACCCCATAAACAACCCAAAGCCAGAAGAGCAGCAGTGACTTACAGGTGGAGGGATCGGACGCTGGAAGCAGCAGGTCCCAGAGAGGGAATGGCGGTCAGCTCGTTGTTGTCCAGTCGCCTGCAACAAGCACGAGTCAGTTGTTGAAGCAAGCAGCCTACAACCAAGCACCTGGGAGCAGGGCATGTCTTCAGCACTTCCTTATCCAACCCCCTCGACTCCCCAGGAACGCTGATGTTTTGGTATTAAGAGGTTTTGTCTGGATTTCCCTGATGGTCCCACCTTATCGTCCAAACCCAACCGTTTAATGAAGGAGAAGCACCTTAACTGGTCCCACAGGATATTCCTTACAAAAAGCAAGGATTTTTATCCCCCCTTCCACCCATTCCTTTAAGCAAGGAAGGTCTTGAGTTTCCACAGACTATTTGCACCCATGGCCATGCTCAGGACAACGAGTTTAACACAGCACACAGCAGCCTCCTCTTGCCCCTCCATGCCAGGCTGGGGTGCCACAGCGGTGGGGAATGGCAGCCCCAGTCCTTCTCCCCACACCAGATCCCACGAGGGCAGCCCCACAAAGCCACAAAACCCACTGTGGCCACAGCAATGCCACCAAATGCAGGTGACCTGCTCCAGCCAGGGAGCACCACGCAGCCCCCGGGGGGCTAATGGCAATTGCAGACAGAGCCTGCTGCTGGAAACTGTGGTACAAGAATGTCCCCTTCAATGGCCCAATGTTTGAAGTGTTTTTCTGACTGAAAACAGATCCTCGCCATGTGACCGGCTCTTCCTCGGTTTAAAGAGCCCTTGTTTGTATGGTGAATTAGTCAATTAATTACTGTAACAGTCGCTTGTCTGGCTGCTTGAGAATTACCTAATTTCTCAGCCATCTTGCTCCCCACTGCCACATGCCGAAGTGATTAAAGCCGAGCCCCTGCCAGGCTGAGCCAGGCAGCGCATGGCGGCTCCACAGGACCCCAAACACCTCTGATCACTGACTGCTTGAAGCAGAGCCTTGCTGGGTCTCCCAGCACTGCCTGGCTTTAAACCATTCCCCTTCTGCAGGGGCTTCTGGATAGATTGCCATTGGGTGTGAGAAGCAAGAGCATCCCCATAGCAGGCAGGGGACCACAGAGCAGCTAAACCACAGGCACAGGTTGGGGCAATCCTAGATGATGGTGATTATTTCTCCCCTTTAAAACTCTTTTTGGAAGGTGGGAGAGGGCAGCGGTACATCCATCCCAGAACTTCCTTCTGACTCCTCCGAGAGCAGGCAAGAGATTTGATTTCATGAGGAGTTCCAGGCACTGCTGGGATAAAAGCTCTCCTCAGGCTCAGCTCTGCCTCTGACATTATATCCACAGCTTAAAATGTAAGGGGGGGGGAAAGCCAGATGCATTGCAATTCAGCAAGGAGCTCCACTTTGCAACTAAAAGCTCATTGTTGCTCTCATTATGGCAAAGACACAGAGCTTTCAAAGGTACAAAGCCAGCTGCAAAGAGCATTATATTGTTTATGTTTGTACCATGTTTTCCTTAACATCCACCTGAGCATCTTTTGACATAGCATGGGAGAAGGATGGTTAGACCCACCCTCCCCTAGCCTGGGTCAGCTCTGGTTAAGCAGCTTCAACACCAACCAGCATCCAAATGGTCAAACCCTCCTCTGACATAAGTGTGATTTTCATCTATCAGCCTCCTGTCAGGTCAGAAGTCAGTCAGAAGTGGTTCTCCCACCTCATTTTCTCTCTTCATTCACAGGCACCAGGGTGCCAACGCAGAGATGACAGCAAGCTCAGTACTTGCCTTCATTTCCCTCTCATCTTGTCCTTCTCCCATATAAAGGAACAAAAAGGGGAGAGCAATAAAAAAAGCCCCAAAGCAGAAGAGCCAGGCTCAACAAATTTAAACTTTCAGCCTCCTTTCTCCTCCCCTTTGACGACACAGACCTGCTGCCTTTGGATGCTGAAGCAGAGGAGGAGGGGGGCCACCCATATAAAATATTTACGGTCCAGTTGCCAGGCTGGTGTCAAGCTGAAATGGAGCCTGCTCAAAAATAGCACAGCTCTCCAGAGCTTTCAGTGAAAGGCACTTTAGCAAATAAAAGGTGAGTTGTTTGGGGAGGAATTTCAGCACAGTTACTACTTCTCTGTTACAAATGAGCTTGGAAAACCTGAGAGGCATGCAGCCATCACTTTCATGGACCCCATGATCCATACGACCTGAGGAAACCCCAGAAAGGACCACAAGGTCTATCTCCAGGCAGCACCCTCCATCCCACCCTTTCAACCACGAATGGACAGACCCCAGGGAGTTGTCATTAGAGGGAGCACTGGTGTCCTGAAGGAAAGTAATGTCCCACCCCAGTCCCTACCACCTGAGCTCCTATCAGCACAAGCTACTTATTTCAGAGCATGTGGGATTCGTATCACTTTGAGCCACTAAATTTCATCCCATAGACTTAAACATTTAAAGGGAAAAAGCTTCTCAAGCCTTCCCCCCACCCATGGAAAGGGAAATATGTAGGGTAAATACATCAGTAACTTCATTACAACCTCAGTAAAGCAAAACAGAGCTCTGAAGCTACAAAGTTTAAATCTTTTGCTCTGCATTTTCTTAAAATCAAGGGAAAACGAAAGGTTTTCAAAATATATCACACTCATTATTCACATGCAGAGACACAGAGAACTTCGAGCCTTATCTGTAAGGTTCAGGCACCATGTTGGAAGCATCATGGGAGGTTTCAAGTCTTATCAATGCATCTATTATTTGGGGCAATCTCTTCCCCTGAGGGTGACTTGGTTTGCCCAGCACAGCGCACACAGCAAAACACCAACTTGCTCTCAGGACATGCCACAGCATGATGCTTATTTCATGACTGTTCGTAAAGTGCTTAATAAAAACCCCACTCTCAGAAAGGAGATGCTCGGGCAGTACAGATGTGGTTCTCTTTGTGAAATGCAGTTTATTTCAGTGGTCTGTGGTTTAGCTGTTATTCAAAAGCAACCAAGATTGGTAGATAGGGCTTTTAATAGACCTTCTCCCTCACGCTTTCCAGAGCCTGCCTTCCAGGCTCTGCTCCAGACCTCTGCCTCCCTCCCAGTCTCCCATTTCTGACTGCTCCCTTCTGCCTCCTACTCACTCCTCTGTTCTCTCCCTTCTACCTAACCTTGACACAGCAAGCATCTCTTATCTGCACCATTACTTTGCAGGCTGCATCACTTGCCTACCCCCAAACCCTTCTTTTAGCAGCTGACTGCTCTCAAAACGTGCAGCACTTTGCACAGGGAGCTCCCTGCCTAAGGCATCGGAACCCCCACACGTTTCCCAGCTCCACACTCCCTGAAGTCACATGCCTTCAGGCATTTCCACAAATAAAAGCTATTGCTAAGCCACGATCATGTTAGGATAATTCTAAAGTCTCACGGGATCAAGGCTGCAATTCTCTTCTTTAAGCAGAGAGTAATTTAAGGCTTTCCACAGTTTAAAGCTGAGTAAACAGATCCTACAGGCAGGGTTTCGCTGACCTGCATCACTTTCTCTCCCCTCCCTGATCGCTCTCTCGATGAACTGATTTTCAGAGCATCGTAGTCACTCCTCACTTCATCATGATCCGTAGTAAGTCCTGTACTATCAGTGTAAGTAGGGGAGCCAGGGGCAAGATGCTACAATAATCCCCATGGTCCAATCCTGCATGCATCAGTCAGGCAGAACTCCTGCTGTAGCAAACCCTTTTGCCTATTTAAGAATTGCAGGATCTGGCCCCTCCACGAGCCTCAGAGCCAACACTTTAATGAAAACAGACAGAGGACAAGAGAAAATGCATGATATACACAGAGCACAGTATTGTTTCGGAAAGGAAACGTTTGTTCAGTTTCCCATGAGGCATCAGTAGCTCTTCAAACAGAGCCCAAACCTCAAGTATGCCAGCGATTCACCATTCAAACATGAGCTCATTACCTCAACCCACCACTTGCAATTTCAGTCACTTTCGGTTTTCAAACCCCAAAATCAGAGCTCCAGGAATCACTGACAAGCACAGCTCCTCTGCAAGTGTAAGTGCTGAGCAAAGAACAAGGGCCAGGAAATCCTGTGATTCCCTAAACAAGGTTTCTTTATCAGCAAGGAGGGTCTGGCACAGCCACAGGGACCATCACCAGCTCCTTCTCTTCCCCCAACAAAGCAGAAGACAGCTCTGTTGTTTCAGCCTCACCTAGCAGGCTTCAAACAGAACTTGTTCTGGTTCCAAAAAGGAGCACAAATGTCAGAGAGGAGACACAGTTAAGTGCTTTGTTATCCACCACACTACACCTTTGTTTCCTGGGAGATCTGGGTTAGGTTGGCATCAGGTATCACAATCCAGGCTGTTCTGCCTTGCTTCAGGGTTATCCTTTCAGCAAGGAGCTTTGTGTGTATGTTCAGGTGTGTTAGCTGAGCATTGCACAAGACTGACGGAGGCAAACTCCAGTGGCTTCCAGTAACAGCCATGCTGTTTCAACTGGGCTGTTGTGTTCTGCTAATTGTTCAGTTTAAAAAACCCCAGCACAGGTACAACGCGGAGTAAATAAAACTCCACACCAAGCCAGATCTGCTCATTCAAGCTAACTAAAGGAAGGCACTGTCTTAGGAAATTAGATACAATTTCCTCCTGGCACACAAAGTGCCCTGGCAAAACACGGTTTTAAATGATTTGAAATAATACTTACACTTCCTCCAGGTTCAACAGCTCTGCAAAGGCAGAAGGATCAATCTCCGTCAACTTGTTGTAGCTCAGGTTTCTGTTAAAATAAGAGGCAGTGGGATCAGCACAGTGCAGTTACCATGCTCAGAAAAACAGTCTTAATTATTCTGGATTGCACTGGGAGGGTGGGGTTTGATTTGTTTTAAACAAGAGCACTTAAACATGGCAGGGCATCACTTTCCTGTTCAATACATGAACGAGTTAAGTTCCGTGATCAGAATGTTATCTAGCTCTTGCTAAGCTTTTTCCTCTCTTGCATTAGTGTGGTTTTAATTTGTCTTTATATTGCACAATTACATTTATTATTCTTCTATTGGTTATTCACAACCACAAGACTAATCACAGATGAATAGGATATTTCCTGACAAATTAGAGTCTGAACTGAAGCAATCAGCAAACCTTCTGCTAAATATTTTATAGCTGTATTCACACAGAGTATTTTCACAGACCACTGTGTTACCTACAAAATAAATACACATAGGTATGCACACTTATTAGGTATGAACATAAAATATATTCCACGTTCTCTACACAAATATTATTATCATATCACTACATGTTTTTTTAATCAGTGGTTACAGCTACTCATGTAGCAGAACATACTTTGGTCCTCAACAGCGCCAACCAACTGACAGACCAAATCTAGATCATATTATAGCACTTCACTGAGGGATGGCAAATAGGTTGCTGCATTAGGTTGCTGTATTAATCTGAACACAGCCTGGTGGAAGAGCTGGACATCCCTGTTTGGAAACACAGCCAGAGCTCAATGTGCCTCTGGAAGAAACACACCGCAAGGATTGCTAGGGACAGCAAACAAAATAATGCAAATAAAGAACCAACTCATAGAATCCCAGACTGGTTTGGGTTGGAAGGGACCTTAAAGCTCATCCAGTTCCAACCCCCTGCCATGGGCAGGGACACCTTCCACTAGAGCAGGTTGCTCCAAGCCCCGTCCAACTTGGTCTTGAACACTGCCAGGGATGGCACACACGACAGGTCAAACCTGCAGCTACGGGCTTACCAGGAGAACACAGATCAACTAAAACCAAGTGACTAATGATGAGGGAATTAACAAATGGCCTAATTAACATGATGTATGCAGTGCTGCATGTTCCTGTGAGCGTGTAATCCAAAGAGGGAGGAGGCAAATTGATGGGCGGTAGCAGAAAAGCAGCCACAGTAAATTGTAAGGAAATTGTGAGGGGGACCTACTTTCATTTCACCCTGCTCCAGGATATTATCCTGAGTAAAATTCAACCCTCCTGTCTCCTCTGCAGGGAGGTTACACCCTCTTACTGCATCTCTGAACACGACCCAAAAGATTCATGGCTTGATTTTAGATAAGCCCTCAAACACCCAGCTGCTTATTCAAACCACCAAGCCAGTCTGACTAGAAACCTGGCCAATCTTCCCTGTGCTGTGTGTTTTCTGCTGTTTTAAAGCTGTGCCCACAGAGCCCAAGCAGGTCTGGAGCCCACACAGGTAAACACGACCTAAGTCACCAAGGTACCTACTGAACTTTTACCCATGGTACAGGTCCCGAGAGCCAAAGGACACCAAAAAAAGGGCAGCTGCCAGAAGAGCACAGATGAAGACCTCCTGTTTGAATTGCTTGTGCTAACCCGCTGCACTTCATGGTACTGCAAAGACAAATCCATCCCCACAGCAACCTTACAAACACCAAGACTTGGACGACCACAAAGCTTACCAACTTTGCATGATGAGCAGGAAGCAATAAACACCTCTTTCAAGCTAAAAAGCAGTTATTGATCACCTGCCCTCCTACAATGCACTTATGGGAAGTCCTCAAAGCATTCCCTGCATGCGGGAACCATTCGATAGCTCTCACGCACACGCCGTTCCCCATCATCTCAGAGCAGCCAGCTCTGAAGGCGGCTCCTTGCATCTTGCCTGACATGTTCGATTTGATGCCAATACCTGCTGTGAAAGGAGGCTCCACAAATCAACAACAGAGGCTGGCTCTTCGCAGAACCTAGACCTGAAGCTACACTGGACTGTAAAACCTAACCAAGCATCTAGTTTTAAAACATGCTGTCCTGTAAGCCCCTACTGTCTTTTAAAAGACTCAAGAGACCTTTAAATCAATACCAGCCTACAGCAGATATCCATTTCACTGTGAACTCAGAGGCATTTATCTAACTAAAAGTCAAACTGCAGCTTAAACTCGGAGTGCATGTGAAAGCCAAGTCCATATTCATAGCACAATTATGAATTAAAGTGCAATTTGCCCACAGATTACATTACTATTTCTTTTTTAAACCACACAGCAAGATCAGGTTGGAGCTTGTCCCTGCCTGATGTACATACAGACAAAAAGAGAAAACACAACAGGTAACGTCCTATAGGCTCAAGACAATAAAGCTGACACAGAAATACTAGTGACAAACTGTAACGGGAAATACAGCCACAGACATGACCGTGCATGAAAACATCTGTTTTCGTGTATTTCTATACGTTCTATTGCTGCAGATCTTTGCATTTCTTAAGGTAACATATTTATCCTCTAAACATTCCTTTGCAATAAGCTAAGAGGCTATTTTACAAATTAAGCACTGAGAATCACAGGCACCAAACTATCATCCCTACCCTGGTCCCTGGCTTTAACCAGTGCTAAAGCTGACATGAACCTCAGAAGTTCACCAGTGAGAAAACATGTCTTGGCAAATGAAAGGATTTCATGGCCACGGTTTAACATCATCAAGAGTGACTTTCTGATTATTGTTGCTGCCATTCAAGAAGTTGGGACATCAAAATCACTGCACAAGTAGCTGGCTCTTCAGAAGGCACAGCCATATTTTGCCTACTCCAGCAAAAGACAGGCTTTCCAATGGTTGCTGCGGAAACACAGGTGAACTACACCTTCACGTACACAAAGTCTTCACTTCTCCCCATGCTACCCACTCCCACAAACACAATACACTTAAAATCAGAGGGGGAAGTGAAAGGTAGAAGTAGAGAGCCAGTGCAGAATAAACAGGAGATGAAGTTAAACCTATACACCAAAATAAACAGTTTACTCCATTTCTGAGACTAGCTGTATTTTAACTGACATTAAAATGCCCAAGAATTTCTAGCCTGAAGCATTAGTAATCAAAGAATGCACTTCCCAGAACTTGGATCCCCTCACCAGACAGTATTTGGCAATCTAGTCACAGAATTCAAATAGGAGAACAAACCAACACGCTCCAATACATAGATCATCGGGACTGGGAGTCAGGAAACCTCTTTCTATTCCTGTCTCTGTTAATCTCCTGCTGGGTGACCGGGTCATGTCACATCACCTCTCTAGAGCTTTTGTTTCCACAGCCACCCTTTGTCTGTCTTGTCTATTTAGACTGTAAATAAAATTGAGGTAGGTATTGTCTTGCATTGCCCGATGCTGATGAAATGAGGCCTCAATCTTGGTTGGGCTCCAGTAATGCAAATAAAGAGAACTCAAAACTGGAGGTCACGGGTACATATGACACTCCCCCACCACCAAGCATGGGTCCCAGATGTACAGCAGTGCACGAAGCGCTGCAGGAGCTGTAACACCTCCATCAGCTCGGCCTCACCAAGCTGTGCAGACCAGCAATGCAGGTTGGTTGGAGATGCCAAGCTTGGGGACACAGCTGTCTCATGGCTGAAAACAGCCCATAGCACAGAACACATCACTTCTCAAGAAGCCCCTTGGTCTGATGTCATGCAGTAGTGCAATGGATCACTGAGCACATCTTTCAGTACTCTAAAATGTCTTCAAAAATTGCCCTCAAAACTCAAAGCCATACCCTGTCCTTGCACAAATGAGAAGCCCTCTAAACCATCCGAGCTATCTCAGGTGCTGGGCATCTCTTCAACGTGGCAGTTTATAAAGCATCATTTACAGCACTTTATGCCAGTCCCAAGAGACCCTGTCTTCAGTGTGTGGTCTGCCCATTTCCTGGCACCTGCATCTCCATATGGGGTCAGCCAAACCCAAGTGTGGACATACCCACACAGCAAGCAGACTGCCCAGTGTCCTGCCTGCTTCCCTGCATGGGTACATGTTTCCACTGAATTACTCATGGGAGGGTATTTTGATCCCTCCAAGGCAACTGTGGAAAGAAAACAGAATTCAGACAGCCAACATAAATCCTGGACAAGAGCCTGGGCTGTAACTCCAGGGAAGCATCTTACAAAGGTCAGAAGCTTCTACATATGGCAGAGAAGACAGAGCCACCAACTTGAGTAGGCTCAAATGTTCAGATTGTTCAGATTGTTCTTCCCCCTACTGAATAGAGAAGCTGACCTGAAGTCTGTGGGTCTTTCCAAACTTTATTTTGACTTAAAGGCATGAAAAGTGCTCTGCACATTATTTATCCATTGCATACTTGTATTGGCTAATCCAACAATGTAGGGTTTTTCCCCCTCCAGTCAGTAAGATGCTTGTGATCAGGAACTGAGAACCTGTTAAATCAATATGGGAAGGGCTCTGTTCTGTCTATTCATCCATTCCAGACTAAACAAGAAAGCAGAGTTTGCCCTCAGTTAGCATTGTGAAAATGGCACTCTGGATCACTGAACACTGCAGAGACTAAAAACAAAGTCCTGTTAAATAACCAGGTACACAGCCTGGCTTGAAACCACCTCCTGAAAGTAATGATGCTGTCACGAAGAGTCCTGCTCTCCAGCAAGGAGGGATCAGTGAGCACTTTGAACCATGAGATGCCAATCCTGTCTCCCTGGGCAAGGAGCAGGGTACAGCAGGAGTTCACGTAGAAGTTAGGGCTGTGCTTTGGGAACTTGATCAGCATGGAGAAGAGTCACCTCTCCTGAAAACAGAGGTGCCTGGCTGGCTCGCCAGACAAAGGAATGGAGACATAGGCCGCTCCTGGTCTCTGTTCACCACGATGATGGCTCAATTCTGCTCAGCAAGGTGAAGGTTTCCGACCCTTACATCAAAACCATTTATCTGTCAGTGCAGAAGATTATGTCAAAAGCGTTTCTCCACCTTTTGATGACAGGCATTGGAGAAAAGGAGGATGGCTCAAAGTT